GGGTTTGATTTTGTGTCACCTTGCAAGAAAAAAATAAATAAAGTCGTTCCAATTTCCAATTCTATGACACTAAAAATTAAGGGAAATCGAGGGACCAGGTTTGAAATTCAAAACAAAATGAAAAAAAACTAATACTCCATGTAATAAGATTGAACCGAAAATGAATGGTCAAGGATTTAATCCTCCACAACTTAAAGTCAATAGGTAATTAGAAAAATATTGATTTTGATTTTTGACTAATAAATATAATCTCATCCACTATCACATTAACCACCCAATTTTTCTTTCCGATTGACTAATTCATAGTTATCATTACATAGTCTCCAGATGTGTTCCAGAAAATCAAATTCGTGTTAAGTATAAAATTATTAAATAAATAAAACTCATAAATAGTAATAACATGAGATGTTACCATTAAGTCATCAATTTAACGTTTAGAAATTTGATATAGAAGGTGTATGTGCATTACTAATGGTTAAAAATATTATGAATAAATAATATCCTATAAGGATGAGTATGTCACGCTCCACGAGCATCGTTGAGCACCATTTATGATGAACACCATTAATTTAATTTATAAAAATTTAAATTCTTAAATGACTCGTCATATAATTATAAATTAGTTAAAAAAACTAAAGGTAAATTATTTAAAATAAAATATTAACTATATTATTTCTAAAAAGTTTTGGGTAAATTACATATTTAATCCTTATTCCTTACATAATTTATCAAATTGGTCATAATTTTATTTAATTTAATATATTTAATCCTCTAATTAAATTTATATTTAATTTTAATAATTTTCCTCCAATCAGATGGTGACACATGACACCATATGATGGAAGGAAAATAAATTGAATCAAAGAAGCTACTAAGGAGAGTCAAATCTGAGTCTCCAAAGTAAAATAAGTATGTTGTTACCACTGCGCCAAGACCAATATTTGGTAAAATATTTACAACATTTGTTATGTGTCTTATACTATAATGAAGGCTAGAAAAATTAAAACAAAGTAAAAATAAAAAGACTCAAACCTTGGTTTATTACTAGGAATAAGCACAGGGCAAGGCTAGTCGATTTTTTTACCATCCGGACCCGACCTAAAAATATATTATATACTGACCTCGTCTCGACTATTTTTGAATATATTAATATTTTAAAATAGTTAAAATAATATATTGATAATCATTTAAAATATTTTAAATGGTTAATTTAATATATTTTACCTTCAACCCCACCCGGTTATATATATATATAAGTAAACTAATAATTTATATCAGGTTGGATCGGGTCGGTAATTTTTTACCTTAAACCCGACCCCGCCCCGCCCAAAGCTATATATTATTTAACTCGTTTCGTTTCGTCTCGTCCCGACCCAAACTTAAAAAAGAATCGACCCATGTATGATAATTTAATACGAAGTCGACGCATTTTGACCCGACCAATTCAATAGGGGTCAATTTTTTATTTTTTTTAAAAAATTTTGGGTCTGGGTGGATTATATAATAGATAACTTCGGGGCAACAAAAGGCGGATTTAAGGTGAAAAATTATCGACCTGATCTAACCCGGTATAAATTATTAGTTTATCCTTTTATTTGTATTTGAATCAGATCGGAATTAAGGTAAAATATATTATTTAACCATTTAAAAGATAATAAATAATTATAAATATATTATTTTAACTATTTTAAAATATTAATATATCGGAATAATTTTAGATGGGATTGAGTATATATAATATATTTTTGGGTCAAGGTGAAAACGACCAAAATATCGGCCTGCCCTGCCCTGCCTTGTGCCTATCCCTAGAATAGGCTAAAGTTGGAGTTGTTTTATTGTTGCTTTTTTTTTTTTGGCCTTCGTTATATATAATATAAATAACAGATGAGCTGACGTAGTGGTAGAGGTTGCTTAATCTAGTTTGGAGACCCAGGTTCAACTCTCTTTAGTACTTTCTTGATTTAATTTATTTCCTTCATAATATGGTGCCGTGTGTTACCCACTGAAGAAAAAATTATTAAAATTAAATATAATTAAATTAAATTAAAAAAAAACCCCTCTAATAATACACGTATTGTCATATAATTAGAGGAGATTAAATATATTGAATTAAATTATGACTAATTTGATAAATTTTTTAAGGAATAAAGATTAAATATATAATTATATCAATTTTATTAAGGGTAAAGTATAGTAATGGTCACTGAACATTTCTGAAGCTTGCATTTAGGTCCCCCAACTTTTAAAACTTGCAATACAATCCCCAACATTTATTCCGTTTGCAATATGGTCCCCAACTTAAATCACTGTTAGAAAATTAGGGTAAATTATATAAACGGTCATTAAACTTTTCAGGCACTTGAATTTAGGTCCCCAACTTTTAAAACTTGCAAAACAATCCCCCAATAATTTTATTTTCTTATTAAATATAGATGTATAGAAAATATAAATGATTCAATTTATATTTAAATGTATGAATCATTTATATTTTTGATATATTTTATTTTTCTTGTATAAACTAGTATTTAAAATATGTTTGTATTTTAATCAAAATATTTCAATATACGAATAAAAATATATTTATATAAATGTATATTTATATTTAGATGTATAAAAAAATATATTCATATATTAATGTATGAATCATTTATATTTTTTGAATATTTTATTTTTAATAAGAAATTAAAATTATTAATTATATTAGAAATACTCAACTTAAGATTATATATAATCATGAATTATAAATATGAAAAATATAATTATTAAATTTAGTTTAAAATATATAATCTTAAATTTATTCTTTTAAAATATTGTATCAACTAATATTTAAAAAATATATTAAATCTATCAAACAATTTATCAAATATAATATTTTTTATTATAAAAAATATAATATTTTCCCATCATTTATTGCTTTCAAATTTTTTGCCGAAGTTCAAATCTCATTATTTCCATTTTTCATTATATTATTTTTTTCTGGAATTGGTCATACTATTAGTATATGTATTATTGTATATCTCTTAACACAAACGATGGTGTTAGCTTAGTGGCTCCACCCTGTATCTTTCATTTGCGTGACTCAGGTTTGAGTTTGCCCAAGACTCAAATTTTACTTCTTTGTAACTTAATTTTCTTCTAATTAGGTGGTGACATGTGTCACCAATAACATATATCATGATCATGTGTTAACACATGTCAGATCCTGGTTAAATGATTAATTTATTAAATTTTATTTAATTTAGGACCAAATTGATAGCATATATAAATAATTAGGTGGTTACATGTGTCACCAATGACACGTGTCATGATCATGTGCTAACACATGTCAGATCCTAATTAAATGATTAATTTATTAAATTCTATTTAATTTAGGGCCAAATTGATTATATAAATAATAAAGACTGAATGTATAATAATGTCAATTCCTTTTAACTGCCACTTCATCATTTGTATCAATTGGTAACGACTAGTGGCTTAGTTGAAACAGTTAAATAATTATGTTGTATGATTGATAAATTTAAAAGATCGATGACAAAAGTAAAAAGGGCTAGATAGTTAAGTTGTCAACCTAGTAGTTTACACTTTTATTTATACGTCAAAATAACATTTTATAAATTTAAAATTTGAATTATTTTCAACCTCTTCTATATCCTAACTACTTTTTTTAATTAAAAAATTTCTTCAACAAATAAGAATTATACTATTATATTTATATAAAAAATACGTATCACATGAAATAAGATGAAATTAAATAATAATAAATCTGACATAATTGAATTTAATTGAATTATTTTAGAATTTAGGGTTTAGAATGAAATTGAATTACTTTGGAAATTGGGGTTTAGAATGAAATTGAGGACTATTTTGCAAGTTTTAAAAGTTGGGGGACCTAAATTCAAGTGTCTAAAAAGTTCGATAACCTTTTATATAATTTACCCTAATTTCTAACGGTGGTTTAAGTTGGGGGACCATATTGCAAACGGAATAAATGTTGGGGGACTGTATTGCAAGTTTTAAAAGTTAGGGGACCTAAATGCAAACTTCAGAAATGTTCAGTGACCATTACTATACTTTACCCTTTTATTAATTATCATGTCGGTTCTTCCGTTAAATGTTAATAACAAGTGACTTGATTGAATGTATTTTAATAGTAGGGTGACCAAATTGACAAAAAATAAAAAAAATGGCGATCAGAAGGAAAATGGGCAATATTTAGGTGATAAATGATATAGTTTAGCAAAAAAATATGAAAAATAATGTAATTAATTATTTTAATATTTTTCCTTTAGATTTTTAACTACTCAGCGGTACTTATCGTTAGTGATGCTCAATAATACTCGTCGAGTGTGATAGACTCATCCTAAATTTTACTTTGTAGTCAAATAAGTTAAGGTTTTGCCTGGTTGAATGAAAATGAAGGATAAATGATGTATTTAGTTATTCAATTATTATTTTAATTTCGTTTTGGTTACTTAATTATTTTTTTTTAAAATCATACCTAATATTTTGATTATTTGTAGTGAAAAAATTAACAGTGATGTTGATATCATCATAATATAATGTCACATGATCATTAAAAATTATCCCGTCAACAATTTTGTTTATTCTTTTAAAGATGGCGGGTGACCAAAAATAATGTTTGATATGATTTAAAAAATATTTGAGTGACCAAAATAAAACCACAATAATAAGTGAGTGACTAAGTACGTAATTTACCCAAAATAAAAGGATTAAAGGATGGAGTAGAAAAACGGAAAGAAAATGAATTTTGAGTGAGTTCCCGTATATGACACCCTTCCATTATAAGTTAATGACACAATAATTGAACTGATATAAAATGATTAATTCGGTGATGAAAAAATAAATTTTAAAGTAAAGTGATGAAAATATAATTTTATAATAATTTAACGACTGTATATGAAATTTACCCTTTTAATTTTCTCTCTAAATGTAAATATCGATTTAGACAAACAGAAAAATTATTTTGCGCTGTACGAAAATAGCGAGCTAAAGCAGAGGCTCAAAAAAATTGCTTTTTTGCAAACCCAAGCAATATCTAACATTCTTCTCTCACTGTCAGTTTCCTTGGGTTTGATTCTCTTCTTTTTCTTTTCTTTTTTCCTTTCAATTTTTAATTTTTTAGATCACCGGGCAGTTTAACGGTCTTGTTTTAGTCCAATCAACGGTTGCGGTTGCATGCTCAACTGCTAGAATTTGTTCCCTTCGCCAGAGCGATCGCCACAGCGACGTCGTTGGAAGCTAGGTTTCGCCGATTCCGTTTTATGCCTTCTGGGTACATATAAATGCTTCTTTTTGGGGATCTAGGGTTTTCAAGCCTGGTCCTTGTGATCTCGTTTGTTATTCCTTTGATCGGCTTTTTCATTCGGCGGCAATGGAGGCTATCGATTGCCAGACAGGTGGAGATCAAGAGGCTTATGATTTTGGCATCGGAGGAGGCTGCTATGGCCGAGCTTGAGGCTTCGTTTGGCTACGGTACTGTCTCGGTTTTGCAGAACTATCACCAATGCGTTGTTTGTTATTCTCGCACTACTACACGGTGCTCCCGCTGTAAAGCTGTTCGGTATTGGTAAGTATATTTGTTAATTTAGTTTATTGTGATTTTATTTGTTTAGGGCATTCAGTTTGAACAGTATTTGAGATGAATTCGGTTCTTTATTTGAGGATAATTTCGTATATGGTGTGCAGTTGAAGAAATATTTGGTTAGAGAATTCTTCCACCAGCACAGAAAGTGTGGGTGTAATTTAAGTACTCCATTATCTGTCTAAACTCTAAATGCATGTAGAAATATAATTCAGGGGTACAATGTTCGGGTTTGTGGTTTTTGAAGTCAGAAATGAAGCATTTTAGAAGACTTGGTGAAAATACATAATAGATTCAACATTCACACTCTATCATGGATGGGGTGTTTAGAGACGTCTTATAAATTGAATTATGGATAGTTTTCATCAAATGTTTCAGTCTGTATATGCCATGTTTTAGCCTCCAATCTATACTTACAAAGGTGGGGTATAGTTTATTAACTATTCTCTTGAATATGACATTTTCTTTGTCCTATCTTCTTTGCAGTTTAGGAGTTGAGGTGCTGTATGTTCACTTAGTATGTTTGAAAATAGTTAAAATGTCGTTCCTTTGATAGGTAAAAAAGAAAAAAAAGATAATACCATTCTAATGAACGCAGGAAATAATTTAGTTTTCCCCTATCATGTTATTATAATTATGATGATATGACTTTATGGTACATTGATCATGAATTATACTGGTTGAGCATTATTATTTTCTGCTGACAGTTTTGTTAAAGATTTGTCTTTTAACTGTATTTTATTTACAATTTGGATGTATTAGTTCTACTCAGTGTCAGTTATTCACTGGAGGCAAGGTCACAAGGAAGAATGCTATCCGGCTGCCATCGTCGCACACCAAAATCATGATGAGAGAGATGATTTTGCTCAGAAGGTGATAGAGCAACACCAAAATGAAGACATATTGGAAACCAAAAAAAGCCCCATGCAAAACCAACTGGAATAACCTCCACTGAATTTGAATTGCATAATTCGACCTCTGAACCTGCATTTTCTAGTCCCAAAAACTGTTCTGCAGTTTTACGTGAGAAGGATGATGATGTAAATGTTGAGTTCCAGGTTGATGGGGAAGGAGTGAACTCTGCTTCAGAATCTTCCAGTGCCTTATTTTCTGGGTTTTCTGCTTCTATATCTGGTAGTGAATCATCTGATGATGTTTCTGTGAGCGAGAGCGTTAGTTCAAATGAGCTTTACAAAATTGATACATCTTCATCTGCTGATGATTCTAAACTTGACATGTTTTGGACTGATTCTGGAGTCAACAATGTAGATCAAACCAATTTGGCTTCCCCAAAATTTGCCAAGTTGGTTGATTCTGTAGATATACATCGGATGAAGCTTGATCAATGTGGAGAGATCCAAAGCAGAGCAGCTAGTTCTTTAGGTTCAAGCATTAGTGATCTGCCTGAGGGCTCAATATCTGATGATCGTACTTTGTCTTCTGGATTTTGGGGCAGAAATCTGGAATCAGTTGCATCTATGAATGACACCTTTCAGTCTAATCCTAAAGAAGATGGTATAAGTGCCTCACTCGATACTGGATATTCCTTGCATTTTTCATTCAATTTGTCTGGAAATACTTCTGTCTCACATACACATGGCTCGAAGATGAAGGCTGCCACATTGGATGATGCTCCTCAGAGTGCTCTGGGGAATACCCAGCTTTCTGATGAAGTAACTTTGCCATTAAATGTTGGTTTAGATGCTCTGAATGCCAACAGCTCCCCATCCTCAAATTCTAAATGCGTTAACCATGTGGAATGTGGGTCTGACAATGTTTCACATGTCCCAAAACCCAGAGAAGCTATCAATATAGATGTTCCATTAGTCAGTAACTTGTCATCTTCATGTTTTGAAAAGTTGAACTCTGGAGATAACGGTAACGGACCTAGCACTTCTCATCCATTGAGGTCTTCTGATGCTTATTCATCCAGTGCGGGGTTGCAAGTGATTTCTAGTGCTAAATCTGGAAAATTTGGTGTTCATGCAAATGCTGCTACATTACCTAAGGTTTCAGGTTATTCTACCAACAGTACAAATGGACTGAAAACTTCTATGTGGAAAGTTGTTGATCAACTCAGAGGATCTAAGCTGCCAAAACACTATCCTTCAGGAGTTGGTAATGAGGTTGCTCGAAAATATAATGATAAGGTTTGCTTGAAGTTGCTTTATTCTTAACCCTAGTAGTATAGCCCTTGACATTATTAGGTTTTTTAAATTTTCTTCTGTCTTTGCAGGTACTTTTTCCTTATGAATCATTTGTCAACCTTTACAGTGCGAACAAGTTGGACCTGCAACCATGTGGACTTGTAAACTGCGGGAACAGGTAATATAAGATTGGACATTATCATGTCCAACAGTTGGAAAACCTATATTGGGGATAATGGTTTTATAGCTTTTATAGTGTTATTTTGTCCATTACTTTTTTATGCTTTTTCAATGACATGGATTGTGTGTAGGAGTCAGTTGATTTGGACATAGAATAGATTTTATTTGTTCATTTTTACTTAATTGTTGTCAAGGAACCTGCTCTGATATGTTTTTTTTTTGGGTCTTTGTTTATTTCTTAATCTTTTTTTATTTGTTTACTTGGTAAAGTATCTTTATCATACACTCAATTAACACTTTGACACTCTAGCCCATGTTGTTATTTCCTTGTTTGGAAATAAGTCTTTAGTGATCAGTTTGAATTTTAACATATTATTCTTTGATTCTGTTACTCAAATGTGAGTGTTATAGAGAAAGTGCCAGATAGAAAGTGCTAATCATGTTCATTTTAATTGCTCACGTTCCTCTGTTTAAATCCTTCATTTTTCTATTGGTTTTATTACATTTCTCTAAGGTTTAAGTTTTCATTTTTTTTACATTCCGTTGACCTTGGATAGGCACCTATTTTATCATATCGTTCCCTTCAAGGTTTCTCTCTTTCTGTTGTTAATGCACCATTTACTTTTTGCAGCTGTTATGCCAATGCTGTCCTCCAATGTTTGACATTCACTCCACCTTTCACTGCTTACTTTCTTCAGGGAGTCCATACCAAAGCATGTATGTCGCCTTTTATAAATCTGGAATTGTTTTGATTTTGATTTTGAGGTAGTGTGTTGGATGATTCTTAATAAAAATTGCTTTATCAGGTTCAAAGAAAGAACGGTGCTTCACCTGTGATTTTGAAATTTTAGTTTTGAAGGCTAAGGAGGGAAAATCTCCACTGTCCCTAAAGGAATACTGTCCCAACTACAAAATATTTGTGGCCAACTTGCTGAAGGAAAAGAAGAAGATGCACATGAATTTTTAAGGTGAGATAAATTACTAATGGTTAATGTATTTGCCTCTTTAATAATATTTTCTTCATGAGAGATGAGTAATCTTTTCATAAATGTTGATGTAGTTTATTGATGAATCATATTTTACAGGTATGTTATTGATGTGATGCAATCCGACTGTCTTAAAGAAGCCGGGGTGCATTCATCTGGTTGTTTAGAAGAAGAAACCACTTTAGTGGGACTAACATTTGGAGGTTATCTCCGGTCGAAGGTAATCATTTATGATCAATCTACTTTCTGGCTGGATCTTTTTTTAATGTTTTTTCTTTCTGTCCGACTCATTCTCTTCATGTCTCCTGCTGTTTAGGCATAGGATATCTCAACTGCTTGAAGGTTCTATCTTAAATTGCAAACTGTTATGCACATAAACTTCTTATTATTTTCTGCAGATACAGTGCATGAAGTGTCAAGGCAAGTCTGAGCGTCATGAAAGAATGATGGACCTTACTGTTGAGATTGAAGGAGACATAGGAACCCTGGAAGAGGCTCTTCATCGGTTTACAAGGACTGAGATTTTAGATGGAGAAAATAAATACCAATGTAGCAGGTTTGTTTGCGTACATTATTTCCAAAAGCTCTTTCGATATAAAATACTGTTAAGAAAGATGGAGTTGAACTTTAATGGATGTAATTGTATTTTCAAAATAAAATATTGTTGTTTATTTTATTTATTGACCTTACTTTTTCTGTGTGGGTAGATTTTGACAATTTAACATTTGGTGAAACAACAGGAAATTCTCTTTCTTACTGAAACTGATGGTATGGTAATGCTCAAATCAGAGCCATTGCTTCTTTGACTTGGGATTGGGCTTTGGATTTTATTTTTGGACATTGTTATTTTTTTAAGTAGATACTTCAAAGGAGCCCTAGACTGTATTTTGATTCTTCTGGAGAAACAAAATATCCTCAAATTTAAAATTTTGGAGTCTATGACAATGTGTTTTTCTGCTGTGTCATGTGATCTTGCATAGGTGGTCACTGTACTCATGTATGTGTTTCCTCTTTCTTTCCATGTTTACATTGATAGTGCAACTTGAAAACATCTATGTTTATTCTTCTGTTAGACATATAATGGAAAATAAACAAATTTAAAAAGAACTGCTTCGTATTATAATTGCTTGTGAAAAATATTTTTGGTCTTCAATATTGGTGGTGTTACTGTATAATAGTAGCAGTCTGCATGGTTGTGATTCCTTAACAAACTTGTCTATTCGTTATAAGGAATTGTTTTTCTAGAGGTTTGGTTATTTCTTCCATGCTTGTTTTTTCAGATGCAAAACTTATGAAAAGGCCAAAAAAAAGTTGACAATATCTGAGGCTCCAAATGTTCTTACAATGCTTTGAAGCGATTTCAGGTACTCATTTCATAAAGAATCTGTTTTGCTCTTTGCGGATTCTTACAGCTTAACTTGTGTTTTATGTTGCAGTCTGGTAAATTTGGAAAGCTTAACAAAGCAATTCAATTCCCTGAGATCTTGAACTTGGCGCCATATATGAGTGGGACAAGTGATAATTCACCCATTTACAGGCTCTATGGGGTGGTGGTTCACTTGGATATTATGAATGCTGCATTTTCGGGTCATTACATTTGCTATGTTAAAAACTCCCAAAACAAGTGGTTCAAGATTGATGACAGCAAAGTATGTACTCTACAGTTATCATTTGTTTACCATGCGTGACTTCCCTCGATCTATGTTTGATACCTACCCTACCAAACCCTTAATTTTATAGAAAATTTTGCTCCCCTTACTTGAATGTTAAAAGTTTTTGCCTTGTGCGATGATTAGCTGTGCTTCCATGTTAGTAAACAATTGGTGATATTTAGATTCTCTGCTTTGTATCTATAAATTTCCTATTTGATAGGAGACTTAAGAATTACTCTCTCAATCATTTCTTAAGTTTTTTCGTTGGTGACAGGTAACATCTTCTGAGCTTGAAAGTGTTCTAACTAAGGTGCATACATGCTTCTTTATGCAAGGTAATGAATCTCAATCACGTTTTTTGCTATTAAAATTCATATGCTGTATTCTTCGGTTTAACAAAATATTACCTTGCAGGTGCTCACCCAGGGCCCCAAGATCAATAAGGAACAGAAAGAAGGCGGTTCCGTTGAGGGTCAACTCAAAGAATTATACCAAGTCAAGTTCTTCAACACATTCTAGTGTGAGAACCTCTACCCCAGTTCAATTCATCCTGATACTCCAGGGAGCATTAAATCCTTTTATTCGAAATATAGTCGGTTACAGAGGATTTTCGAAGAGGACTCGGCAAGTGATAATTCTTCTCTTTTCGGCAGCAACTCTGATGATGGTTCCTGCTGTACTGAAAGCACACGAGATTCTATCTGCGATGACTTACTGGACCCTGTATTCGGTGATTCAATACGTGGTTGGAACAACCCCTGGAGGAGTTCTGATTCTGATGCTTCATCATCTTCCACTTCTCCTCTTTACTCAAGGCATTCTCCCCTAGCTGATTCAGCTAAAGAGAGCAACAATGTTGATTTGGACAGACGATCCAGCGGGAGTAGCAGGCAATCAGATGTGGAAGGCAAGGTAACCACTCCTTTTTCCCACTCTGACACAAGTAAACAGTGTAGAAATGTAGGTAGTAGTAGGGAAACTGTTTCAGAGAGATTAGGACGGGTTAACCCTTCAAATGTGTCTTTTAGAAACTCAATGATGAAAAGAACAGATTAGAAAGTTTTATAACTGAGGAGGTAAATAAGATTTCGGGGAAAAGTGTATATGTAAATGTAGAATTGTAGCTGGCTTGCTTGCTGGCTTTATTTAAAAGATCAACTATCTGCATCTTATTCATATGTTATCCATTTCCTTGGTAATATAGTGTACTGTTATACTTCCAAGACTATAAAACTTTTGGAACTTAAAACCTAACAAATAAAACATTCATTACATGAAGAAAAGAGAACTTCTCTAGTAATTTTCTAAAGGTCTTAGTTTGGGTAGTCCCCACACACATAGTACAATACTATGGGTCGATGACTTACTAAAACTCCAACAGTTTTTCAACTTCTCTATTAATTGCCAAGGACTTAGCTTGGGCACTATCGACCCCACCGTACACATTTTCATCCGTTAATGATCGTTGTTGTACTCATTTGTACGGTTGCAGTGTAGAGCCTTGGTGTATAGATGAGAAAAGATTAGATGAGTCTGTCCATTTTTATTCGAATTAGATTAGTACTTGTATTTAGTGAAAGAACTAACAAAGTATTGAATAACTTCTATCATTTATTTACCACATTTGATGTGTAATAAATAATTTCCTTAAAACTTTATTATATATGGTTTAAATGAAATTGATATATGTTGGGACGTACAAACTTCTGAGTGTAAGAAGTGTTACTTTTGTTGCACTACTTAAATTATCATATGTTGATGGAGTCTTGGTTTCTTGGAGGTAATCAAACATGAGATTAACATGAATAGATCATACGAGATGGAATTTGATATGATTCGATTTTGTTTACGTTTATGGATGAGCACATAAATCCTATAAATGTAGAGATCATAAAGAGTATAAATACATATTCATTTTTCTTGAATTTCAAAATTCATATGTTTAAAAATTCGATAAAATGCCTTCTAAAATGTTCAACACAGATCACAAAATAATTATAAAGTGAAATCCTATATATTCATATAGATAAAACAAATTTTATCACAATTTTTTGTGAAATATAATTATTTTATCACATTAAAATTATAATAAAATTTAATTTATTAGTTGAAACTTGGGTCGATACGTAGTACTATATCTTTTTTTAATTTTGTTTTCCAAGATGGCTAAACAGAGGTGTGTTACCTTCGGTGTCCAAGGCAATGCAAGCTTCTGCCTGTCCGTTGAGCAACTACATCAATGATTCAACCTTGAGTAAACATTGAAAGTTTAGGTATTAAAATGAATCAAAAGTTATAGTTTAGGTATTAAATGCGTAATTTATCTTATTATATTTTTACTTGATACTCATTTAGGATTAATTATGTGACCCTTTTTATTAAATACTCATTTAGGATTAAATTTAGGAATAAATTTATTTTTTCTTCTTTCCTAGTTTACATAATCTTTTCTCTTTGCAGAATTTTATAATGGAGTTTTCTCTTTGTTTGTTTTCATTTTCATGATTGTTTTCTTCCTCAATACTACAACTCTCAACAAAAAATACCCTAATAATTTCTTCCCAAAACTCTCCCATCCATTATTCTTCTATTCTGAACTAAAATTCTTATTAAATATTTGTAATGAATCAAGTAACTTAAATTACTATCCATAAATTATTTCGATGTTCATCTTCACCTTATGATAATTACGTATCTTAATTTTACAATAGCATTTAAAATCTTTATCATCAATAACTAATCGAACTAATTTCAAATAATCTCAGGCCATCAATTACATCCTAAAATCGAGACCAAAAAGAGAATTAAACATCCTATTGGTGGCCGAAGACATGAGTTTTGCACTGGTTTCGTTTTTTTTAATGTGATATGATATGATGTGATATAAAGTTTTATGACTTGAAGAACTATTGCATTTTAATTTTGATTTTTAGAGGAAATGAAAAATGTTCTGAACTCTATTTTTACTTGGATTTTCGGAAAATATTTATAAAGGAAAATATTGAGAAAAGAAATGAAAGTTTCTATAAAAAATCTATATTTTGGTTGTTAGAATATGAAACTTTTTTTTATATATATTTCTAGATGAATGTTTTAAGTTTTGATTTAGGGTTTAAAAAAAATAAATAAAAGATATTTTGATATGAATAAAAGGAACAAGAAAAGATGAAAGTTTGTTAAAAGAATTCAAATTTTAGCCACTGAAATTCGGAAATTTCAATTTTTTTCCGACAAACAATTCAATTTTAAGAAATAATAAACATAAAGAAAATTATGAAAAATGTTAAATTATATACAATCAAGCACGTGATGTGATTTTATTGGTCTAAATTCTCTATAAAAAAAATTAAAAACAAGAAGACTGAATTGTTTAATTTGATATTTTAAGACTTTGTTTGGTACGAAAGATGAAATTTTTGTTAAATAATTAATATTCAAAAGTAAAAAATAGTTATAAATCTTAATTGTTTGATTAATAATAATTTATTTATTTTTCCATTTCCATTTTTCATCTAACGTAAAGTCTAAATTTTAATTTGAAGAGAAAAAAATGTAAAGAAGAAAGTTAGAGTGATTAAATTATGAGTAATTTGAAAGTTAAGTAATTAAATTATAAAAGTTTAATCTTCAGTTACCAAAATAGGAGTGAGAATATAATTGAGTAATGAATGATGTAATTTTTCCATAAAAAAGTGTCATGTCATAACAGTTCCGTTAAGTTGTTAACGGTGAGGTACCAAAATGAAACAAAAATTAAATATTAGATATAATTTTAAAATAAATGAAAGTTTAGTTGTTAAAATGGAATAAAAGTTATAGTTTAGGTATTAAATATGTAATTTACCCAAATTTATATTAAGACTTAAATTTGTTATATAGTAACTCGAGTTCATCTTTATCTGGAATTCAATACCCTAAACACCAATTGAGTAAAATTAGCTAGAAATATTGGCTTGGAGCTTATCTTAAATTTATTTATGCTATGTCATTATTGAAAAATAATTTTTAAAAATGTTTCATCAAAATAACTATAAATTTTGGTAACGACGGGTGATCAAGATAAAACAACATAACATTGAGTGTGATTCTGAGAAAAATAATAATTGAGTGACCAAAAAGAAGTTAAGTAATAGTCGATGACTAATTAGATAATTTACCCTATAAGTTTTTAGGCGATAACACGTGATAATTTTTTAATGATTTAAAACTGGAGGTTTTAGAATTTGACGTTAGTAGAAATCAAATTAAGATCTTTTTGAAGGATAACTCAAACCTTAACTCATAAGTCAAAATGCATTATTAGTTATAATTTAATATGATTGTTATATAAATCAAAATAAGGGTCTCCAAAACCGTAATTAATAAATTTAATACGTTTACTGATTTTCAAATCCTTAAGCAATCAAAAGAAGAAGAAGAACTAATTTCAAAGCATAGAATAAGTAATATCCTCATTGTATGCCTTATTAAAAACCTCTCGTCTTAAATAGAGGAAAAGAGTACATACATCAAGAATAAAAAAAATACAAACGATATACCATATGATCTATCGCCAATACTACGAAAAATACGATACCAAGGACATACTGCCAACAACGAAAGCAACCACAACTACCTACCATACTACACATGTAAGTATTCAACACATCATAAATCTCTAACATCAAAAACACCTGCAAAAGAAATCAAAATTTAACAACATAATCCTCTCATCAATCTGTCTAAATATAATACCATTGTACATGAGCAATGATCATAATTGCTTGTTATCAAATTAAACAAAATTCAATTGTAGATGAAAATAAAGAGGGGATAGAACCTAATTATTTACTTGGAGCCTTTAGATGTTTTCAAATTAGGTATGTGTTCCTTCTCGGTTAAAACAGCTTCATTCTTCCACTTTCTACTTCTCTTGTTTGGCTTAACTTCCCCACCTTCTCCTCCTCTTAAATGCTTTTCTTCTATACCCTTTTCCTCATGTATTATAAGTTCTTCCACGAACCAAAAACGAATACAAGATTTTATGTTAACGGGCAAATTTATAATATTTGACAGTAATTCTTAGAAATCAATCCTCAAACTTTAAAATTACGCAATTTAATCTATCTTTTAATATATTTTCATCATTATCCTTCACCGTCCGTCGGTCACCGGTCTTTTAGAAAAGTTCTTGCTAGTCTCTTGTTGTGCAGTTATAAGTTAGGTAAGATCACATATCTTTTTATTGCGCAAAGAATTCAACATGGCTCAAGGGTATATAGCAAAACAGACTAATTATACACACATGAATAGTTTAGTTAAATTAGTTTATATAACAGATCATTAGTTCATCCAAAACTGAAGGGTTGTTTTGAGTGACAGTGGAAGATCTAACTTTGATGGAAAGAAGTTGCTTTAAAGTGCGTGGCAGGCTATACGTACACAATCTTAGAGGCCTGATTAGTGCTTAGACGAGATAATTGTGAATTATTCGAGATCTATTCGGTTAATACTCGAATCGAAAAGATTTGACTTTAGCTCGAACTCAAGTTCGAATTTTTAACGATCCAAAGCGAACTACTTGATACTCGACTCGTAAAACTCGCAAGTGTCACCCCCACACTGATACGGGTGGCCCGATCTGATCCGGGGTGTCACATTAGGGACACCAGAGCAACCCACCGTAAAAATCCCGGAAAAATTAATTTTTTTGTTAAAACATATAAAATCATAAAATAATTTATAAATACAAAAGTAAAATGTACCATTATTCAGAAATAAAACATATTTCAGACTCGTATATAAAATAAAATACAACATACATGCCCCCTAATCACATGCACCGTACTCTGCAAGCAACGTCGGTGGAACTCTTTTACTAAAGTCAATAGTTGCACTGGTTTGATCCTTTTAACCTGAAAAGTAAGTAAAAAGTGAGCTTTGAGAAGCTCAGTAATACAGAACTACCAGATGATGCTGAAGAACATGCAGATAAAATGAACATCATAAGTTTTCCTCATTGACTCAGCCGTCTATAGACTTTTGTAATAAGCTGAGGTTCCACTGATATTACATTGAGTAAACGCCAAAAA